TGCCAGTGCCTGAACTCGCTCTGCTCAGTGCTTGGAGAGAGCTGCTAGGTTCCGTGGTCCCAGATCACAATCTCGTATCAGTAGCTGTCACCACAGCCCTTAGTGCTGGCCGGGAGATTAAAAAATGACAGCCAACCTAGCATTCCTTCTCTGTAAGGAGGGCTGGGTCCTCCTCAGGTTTGTTTTGATTTTTTCATCACTATTTTGAGTGGAATCGTTGCAGTGGGGGAGCTGGGCGAAGCAAGGATTTGCATGAAGCTCTCGGTGCTGCGGGGTTGCTAATGGTGAGCGTTATTTCAGCCAGCAGTAAGTTTCATAATCTTGGCCCAGCTCTTGTGAATGTTCCATTTTTCAGGGTCATGAGCCTCTTTACCCTTCTTCCATCCCTTCCCCCTCTCCCCAAACTGGTTGGCAATTTCATTGTTCCAGTGGAATATATCCGTCATGTGAGGTCATCGCTGCATAAGGAGAGGTGATTGATTGCTTAGGTCACTGGGGCCTGTCCCATGCTGGGCTTTGAATGCTGGTTTGGAGACCTTGAACCGGACTCTGTGCTCAAAGGCGAGGCGATGTGGGGTGCAGAGGGGCACGGTGATGCATTCCCAGCAGCTTGAGTTGCCGAGCAAACAGACTGCTGCATTCTGAACTAGCTGGAGCACTCTGAGAGCAGACAGCTTCATTCCTAGAGGCACAGTATCACAGCAGTCAAGCTCTAGATGTTACAAAAATACAGATAGATCATCATCTGCCAGTTGAGCCAGACAGAATCGGGTGCAACTCTTTTCCCATCCCCGGATGGAAAGAGCCTCTACCCGCTCCTCACTAACGCGGCTTGTGTGCGCTTGGCTTCATCCAACTGCTCTCCAGTCAGAGCTGATCTCGGCTAGGCATTGAGAAAGCTGTGAGATTCTCAGATTTTAAGGCCAGAGGGACCATTTTGATCATCGAGACTGACCTACAGCAGAGCACAGGCCAGAGAATTTCACCAATTTAATTTCCTGCGCCAAGCCCATAACTTCTGATTGAACTGTAGCATCTCTTTTAGGAATACAGCCAGGCAAAGGCTGCAGGCAGTAGGGAACACACCACCTGCCTAGGTGAATTGTGCTGGAGTGTGACCCTCTTTATTAATAGTATTGTTCCTCATTTGAATTTGTCAAACTTCAGCATTTTGTAACAGAAGGTTACAGATTGCACTTGATGTGAGGGAGCTACAGCACACGGCTGGCACCTTGGTTCTTTTATTCCTGTGATGCCTTTTTTATTTGGATAGGATTTATCTATGGCACTAAGGTACACGAGAATCCTGAACACAGAGAAGGAGTAAGCGAATCCTAGGGCTTTCCTGGGGCACAGTAGTATCTGAACTCCAGAGCCCAGGGTGTCACATTCAGGGTTTATTCCGAGCTCCCTGGTTTGAGCAGGAGTGCAGCAGGCTCTGCTCCTAGCCATTAGGTAGGATGTAAATTCCCAGCCCCTCTGGGAATTTACTGAACTGCTATGTATGCTTTGGGGCATGGCTATTGTGATCTGCTCTCTCATGTCCCAGCAGCGGCAGGTCCATGCTGCAGGAGACTTACAAAGAGGGAGGAAGCACAGATGGGTGTGGGGAACAGCAGCAGGATTCATGCTTCCATCCTGCAAATGCATGAGAGCAGCTCCTAACAGATTAGCCCCAGTCTGGAGTGATGGTGGGGTCCATATGCAGCAGCAAAGAACAGTGTAATTCTTACTCACTGCTTTCAAGCACCAAGATTCACAAACTGAGCTCAGTGAAGTGCCCCGGGGAAATAGCTTTGTCATTCACACTCTGTCATCTGTGCATCACAGGGCCAGAACGCTGAGATGAAGGCTCTGTACCTAGAGTGAAAGTATACAGGTTTCCTGTTCAGACTCTGGGAGCAGCCCTGTCCAGTTTTATTGCCATTAGACCTGGGAAACACATATGAAAGCAAGAGCCTTGCCATGAGGTAGCGTGCAGAAATCTCTGCTCCGGCACACAAAGGCTTCTTGAATGGTATAAGGTGGGATTTACACTCACAGGTAGTGAGAGCATTGGCATCCCGTCCTCTGCTCTGAAGGTCTAGCAGTTTATTCAGGATCCACACTGGGAGCTGCATCCAGAGCTGAACAAAGGGCATGTGCTACTCTTGCCCTCCAACACAGCAGGGTCGGTGCCCAGGACACAATCCTGCTGCCGGTGGCTGACCGCAGAATGCCCCAGACATGCTTTGTCTGCTGTTTAGTCAATAATCCACGGGGACATCCATGCTCCATTTCAAACATAAATGCTCCAAGCACGCTGGAATACAGCCTGAATTGCTTGGTGTTTTCACCTGAAACATTCCTTTGCTCCCACACCCTCCATGCCATGGGAGACACCTCTGTCCTGCTCCCAGCTCCTCCACAATCAGTCCTGGGTGTGCCAGTGCAGGACACACTCCTAGTCTTTGGCCACGATCTCATCAGCAAATCAGAATGTGTGGACGAAGACCAACCAACTTTGCAGCATTCCTGCACTCATCTGGAGACACCTTTGGGGTGGGGGCATCGGGAATCACCAGCTCTTCACTCCAGGCAGCAGAACCCATGCACAGCAGTGTCTCCAGTCTGAGGCTTGCACCCCCATGTGTGGGCTGTCCCCTACTCGGCATCACGTGCACATGAGGCGGTCAGTGCTGGGGCTCACCCCTCCTCAGCTCATTCCATACGTTATCTGCTCCATAGGCCTGACATTTAGACAACCGTGTGTGAAAGCCGTCCAGGATTTGGCTCTGTAGGGTGTCTTATTCCCAAGTTTTCAACCCTGGAAGTCCATAGACTGGGTGTCATTGCTGGAGCTCTCAATCTCAGCTTAGAAGAATGGCGATGTCTCCATTATGAGATCTCCCAACAAGCGAGGAGAGCACAGGGACCCCAGAATTCCTACCCCCAGGCACATTTCTGAGGGTAGAGCCGTCGCTGTCAGGAGGAGTGCCAGAGGTTACATGTGCACCACTACTGTGCCACACTTCCCTGCGGGACTGGCACTGAGGTCTGCCTGCACCTGGAGAAGGTCATCCCTGCTGGGATGGCACTGTCCAGCCCCACATCTCCTGCTTCCCGATGCAAAACAGCCCCTGCCCCCAAAGACTTGAGCTGGGCCACAAGCAGAGCAGGCTCTTCATCCCAGGGAACTGCTGTCCTGTGGTGAGTCCCAGGCATGGCCCCAGGCATTCCAAGCCACCTTCAAACCTCTCGTGCAACTTGTGTGCCTTCCAGCCTGGGGATTCACACAAGGAGGTCCTCCATGCTTGGAATTCCCTCCCTTTCAAGGTCCAAAATAAATTCTGTCATGGATTTCTGTTGCCAGACATGATCTTCCACGGCATCGTGATCATAATCCAGATGGCCAAGATCTCGCCAGTATCTGGGTTCAGAAGAAACTTGCTCCATTCTGCTGCCTCTCTGCAGAGCTGCATTTTAATACTGAGTCCTCTCCAAGGCTTAGAGGTTCAGGAGCAAAGAACAAAGAAATGCTGAGAATAGCTGCTCTTTTCTCCTCATCTTCATCTCAGGATCCCTCCAGAGACTGATCTTGCCCCAGAGGGAGGGGCAGGGCATATTAGCCAACAATTCTTTTTTTTTTTTTCTGTGAACTTTGTTTAAATATTTAACAGAAGGAAACTAAAAATATCCCCGGTTAATGCAGCAGGAGCTAGACAGCTACTTAGTCTTGGGTGCCCTTCCTCCTGGCCCCTCTTCTCAGGTGCACATCACAGCAAGCCCTGGGTTCTCCCCTCAGGAAGACGAAGCCTCCCATGCAGGAGGGGCTGCAGTTTTTGTTCAGGGCATGGGGTGAGCAGGGGCGGATGGCAGTAACCCCCTGGAAGCCGGGAGGTGCAGCACGGCTGGCTCAGGGCTGGAGGGACAGGGTTGGCCTCCGCATTGACTCCCTCAGCCAAGCATGCCTGTTTCTCCATCCCGGCAGCCACAGGAGGGCATGACCGTGGGCTGTCGGCATTCATGCCTTCCTCTTCACGATGAAGGAGCAGGCTGAACATCTCGCATGATTTTTTTTTTTTCTTTGTCCTGTGCATGCGATTGCGGAGAGAATCTGGGGTCAGGCACATAAGAGCTCCCCGGGAAGGGCCGGCCAAGGGAAGGGGCAGGCAGCAGGAAGGGCAGGCACGCTGCCACCGGGCTGATGCTGGAGGGTGCTGAGCATCCAGGGCAGAAATCCCGCTGAGAGGACCTGACCTCACTGTGTGCTTTTGTTGCTCAGCCATGGGAGGTGGGAGAGAAAAGGGAGGAATAGAGGAGAAATGGAGGGATGGGACAGTGCAGAGGACATTAAGAGTGTGGGAAGGTAATTTCATGTTAGCTAAGAGGAAAGTAAATACTAAATATTTGATAGGCATATTTTTTCTCTTAAATTCTTTAGTGAGGCTGGACTTTTTCTCGCTGATTCACTCTTTCTCAGTCGTCTTGCTTTACCACTCTCATGTTTCCCCTTTCGCTCCCTCGCTCTGGCACACAATGAAGAGGCTCTTTTTTAATAAATGGATTACACACTCCACACTATAAATAAACACAGGAATTAAGATTCCAACTTGTTCCAGCGATAAGCAAACAAAGATGCTGAATCCCCCTCTCGGCCCTAAGACGGGAGAGTCCCTGAGGAAGCTGCACATGTGCCTGGGCACGTGTGCTCCAGAGATCGCTCCTTGCTTTTGTGAGCATATGCTAAGGCATGTGTTTCTGGGGGGACTTGGCATGGGGGTGGGGACGATGCACCTCCGTGCATGGGGGGCATGGGAGCAGGAGAGGGTGCACGTGTGTGCATGGGCTCCCCTTATCCTGCCAGCCGGGGCCGGGAGCTCACCTGGGGTGGCACACGCTGCCTGCAAGGAGAGAGCCGTCACCACTGCGTGAGGGGGCACTGACACCCCTCCCTTTTGGTTCCCAGTGAAGAAGATGAGACAAGATCCTGACTGAGCAAAGACACTGTTGCATCTGAGATGGAGCCCAGTGCCTGGTAGGTTCACAGCTTCCCACACTGGCAGGTGAGGCGCAAAGAAAACAGGAGTGTGGGTGGTGGGCTGCTCCCGGCTGCTTGGCCTTTCAAAGGAGGAACATTTAGATCAGGCTCTCTTCTTGTTCCCCCCACCCCACAGCAGGATGCCTCCACTCCTCTCCCGCATCCACTCCCTGCAGCTGTGGCATCTCCTGCTCGTCGTCTTGGCCGTCCCTCCTCCTGGCACATGGTCTCTTCGCTCGCGGGGCCCTGCAGCTCCTCGGCCTCTTTGCACCCGCCGGAGCCCCTCGGCCCCACGGTCCATTTGCATCTGGGAAAGGACCTCACAGCCGGAGCGGGATTCCCGCTCGGATTCCCGCTCGGCCGCGCCGCGCCAGCGTGCCCTGCCCGTGCGGGGAGCAGAGCTGCGGCACGTGGTGCGGCTGAGGCGCCAGGCCGCGGGGGCCCGGCCCGCCACGCCCTCGGGCTTCGAGGATGGCATGCCCTCCTCCCAGTACCCCTGGGCCATCGTGTGGGGTCCCACGGTGTCGGATGAGGATGGAGGGGACACAAACTCAGCCAACCCGGGCTTCCCGCCGCTGGGATACACCTTTGTCTCGCCGCACGGGATGGCGACGGCGCAGCCCAACTCCCACTCGCTGCTGCACAACGCGGGGCTCAACCTGCGTGAGACCCCAGCCACCCTGCGGCCCTTCTTGTTCGGGCCCCGGGGAGAAGGTAAATCTGCACTCTGCTTCTTTCACCCCCCATCCCCTGCAGGAGCAGCTCCTTCTGCAGAACTCTGGGAGTTCAGGGATCTCCCCTTGCCCTGTGCTCTCTGGGGACCGGAGGGAGTGGCCATCACAAGCCGCACTCCTCTGTCTCGCAGGTGTGGACCCCCAGCTGTACGTCACCATCACCATCTCCATAATCATTGTCCTGGTTGCCACTGGAATCATATTCAAGTTCTGGTGAGTGGGGTTTGGGCCAGTGAAGGCTCTCTGGGCCGGTGTCTACAGGAAGACTGTGGGCTTGGGACCCATTTGTCCCAGGGTTGCAGATCTTGTGCTGCAATTCCTTGCAAGGTTTGGCACTCGGCCACGCTGGGTTCTAATGCTGAGTGTAGTGGGTTCCATCTCCCAAACCTCTCTGTCATCAAGGGCTGGGCTTGTCTCTTTACCTCACCCCTTGCTCTCTCCAAAGCTGGGACCGAAATCAGAAACGCCGGCGTCACTCGGGGCAGCAGAGCAGTGGGAGGCAGCAAGAGAGCCAGCAGCCCCTCACAGACCTCTCCCCCACCACCGTCAGCATCCTGGGGCCCTACGGCGACCCCCTGACCCCCACACCTGAGGCGGAGGAGTCCAGGCAGGGCCAGGAGGGTGCAGAGAAACTGGGTGGCCACGGGAAGAACGCAGCATTCCAGCTCAACCGGTGAGTGGCCAGTGAGCTAGGGCAAGAGGGGCTGGCAGGGGACTGGGGGACAGGCACACCGAGGCAGGGCAAAGGTGGTGTTGGTGAGTGGGAGTGGAGGGCTTGGGCAGTTTAAACGCTGGCTAATTTCCAATTCCCTCTTTCCCCAGAATCCCACTGGTGAATCTGTGACACTCGCAGGAGAGGCTGAGCTGGCTCCCCCACCCTCCTGTCACCACTGGCGAGCGCGGACTCTCCCCGCCTCTGCTACCCCAGGAAAAAAAGCAACCTCCTTGTGCCACGGCCCACCACCACCACCTTTATTAACTAACCCCACTGGGATGTGCCTGGGCAAATGGACGAGCTGGGCCTCCTTAGCCTCCTGCTGGGGGAAGGCTGGGGACCCGCCCTGCCCACGCAGGACAGGGTGACGAGAGAGCAGAATGGTGGGAGGGAAGACAGCTGGTGGTGGTGTGAAATCTTGACCTCCCCAGCCCCTCTTCTAGCATATGTGCACAGACACACTTGGATCTCCATGACTCTCTCACCAGTGCATGCCTGACATCGGGGGTAGGCAAGGTGGAAAGGCGTACCCCTGTCCCCGTGGGCCCTCACCCTCCGTGTGTCCCTTCCCATGTCGTGTGCTTTGCAGTGAACGTCTGGAGTTCAGTGGCTGCAGGATTGCCCGCCAGGTGACTCAGATGGTGGCAACTTCGTCTGTTCCTGAGACCTTGGCCCTCCTGAGAGTCCCAATGGTGGGTGAAGTTTGGGCAGAAGAGGCTCACAGAGCACCTGGGCCCTCTCAACAATCCATTTCCTTGAAGAAAACGTTATCTTCCCCTTAGATGGAAGATATTCACATTTTTCCAGTTTCTTTCTGCCTAACAGTCCTTTGGGGTTTTTTCTCTTCAGCTTGTATCTTTCTTCCTCTCTCCGTCCACAGTTTTTTCCCCTCAGTTCCCACCCCCATGCCACTTCTCTTGCCAGTTAAAGTTGGAAATTATTCCTTTAGCTTTCCAAATGTTTTGATCTTTGGAAACCTCCTTGCTGTCCCTCTCCACCCCTTCAGCCTCCTTCAGCAAGGCTTTTCTGAGTAACACCAGTCTGTGATGATGCTTTCCAGAAAATCCGAGGTGAAGCACTCTGCTCACCATGTTTCTTAGCAAGTGTCCTGCACACAGCTAAAGCCTGGAATGCAGACATTGCTGGGCATGAGGAACTTGCAACAAGGCACCAGACTCTGCATGTGGGATGACCAAGAGCAGTTTAGAGTTGATCTTGGGAACACTGGAAGGGTTGCCATGTACCGCTGGTAGGTCTTTCCTGGAGTGCAAGGTGACTGGAAACCCACAAGGCAGTGCTCACCAAGGGCATGAGAGAGGGGTATCTGGGCTCCCAGATGAAGCTTCATTCAGTTCCCCAGCTGGTTAGAAACTGAAAGCAATGGCACAAGTAATCTGTCCAAATTGGTTGCCTGCGCATGTCCTTCAGGGCTGTGGTGGCCTGTGGGTCTGGCAGCCACACTGTCACCTCCGTGAGCAAGATCCATGCATCTCCACCTCCACCTCTTCCTAGGCATGGAAGTTTGGGTGTCACTTTGAGGACATGCGAGATGGCAAATTTCAGCTTACTGACAATAGCTTTTATGGACAACTTCAAATTAATTAAATTACCCCACACTGACAACCACTGAGGTGAAATGATGCACATTTAGATAAGGTTGCCCCTGCAGTGTACAAACACCTTTAGCTGCTGGACTGATGTGGCCAGAGGCAGAAAAATCCCCCACAGTCTGAAGGCCCTAATGCACCGTACAAGGTCTCTGACAAAAGTAATCTTGGAGAGAGGGAAGCGGCCTTTCATCCTTTATCTCTGCATAAAAAGCCTGTTCTTTAGAGGACAAAGCACAGGGAATTTCATAAGAGGCCTGGTCTGCCCGTTTACCCAGCTGAACCATTAGGTGTTCTCGGGTCCCATCTGACTCACTGTGAAGGGCATTTAAATCAGAGTGTAAATTACAATAAGCTTCCCAAAAACAGTAGAGATTTGGAGAAAATGACAGGTCAAATAAAATTACTGGCTTATTAAAAGCACAGAGTGGCTGAAAGATGTAGGTGGAAAAGGACTCTGGAGATCTCTAGTCTAAGCACAGGCTGATTCTGTGCTTACAGCAGGGGATATTAGTGCTTTACCGTAGATCGATCTGTTACTGAGCCTGTTCTTATTCGGGATCCATGCAAGGCCTTGGTGGACTTTTAAGCTGCAGACGAACATGGAAGGACCAGGTGGCAGTTCCTGCTTGCTGCCCCATTCATTGCTGCCCCTGTTCCCCCTCTCCCTGGCACGTCCCTGCTGGGGAAGGACATCTGCAGGAGGCTGCACTGCTGATTGCTGGCAATTTGCAATACCTTGGACTGGTTGGAGTAACTTTCCAGACCGGATTAATTAGATTGTTCTTTGATCAACAGCATTTGTTGAAACAAGGCCAGAGTTTAGACTCTTCCACTTCAATGGCTGTCCTTGGAGTTTCTCTTTCCACATGCTGCATGGAGAGAAGGTTTGTAAGAAAGTGGCAGGGGACCACAGGAGGCACGGTGAAAATATTTTCCAACACCTGATGTGGGGAAGCCCTGCACTCTCCTGGGAAGGCTTTTGTAAATTCTGCAAACAGAACAGATTTCGGCGGTTTGGGGTTTTTTCCTCCCCCTATTATGTCTCTGGTTTTGGTAAAAGTATCTCCAAGGAGAGAAACCTTTCATGGATACTGTGGTAAGGGGAAAGCTGGTGAAGCTGTGTAGAGAAAACTCTTACAACAGAGGCTTGGGTATAATGAACATCTTTTCTAAGAACAATTTTCCTAGCCAAATACATTTTTATGATAGTCATTCAATTTCTCACACAAAACAGGTTAGATACAGGGAAACAACTTCATTGTTCTGCCCAAACATTCATTGCTATGCTTTGTCCCTGGAACAAAACACTCAGAACACATGTGGACACACAAGCTTCTTCCAGTTAATAAAAAATCTCACTGGATCTGTTTTCTCCATGACTGGAGCCTTATAAACCATCTTCCCCTACACAGACTGGAGCCAGAGCATGCCTGAGGTCTTTACCCTGGCCCAGGGTAATATTTTGTAGGATGTGCACATGGAAGGGCTGACAGCATTAAGCCAGGGCAGAGGACAGCACCTTCTTAGTTACAGCCCATCAGGTTCCCCTGTCTTCTAGATGAATGGAGGAGAAAGATTTATTTTTTTTCTTTCCATTAGAAACAGAAAATTTTTTCTTTCCATTAGAGAGAAAAGTGTGCAGGGAAACCAACTGGAAGTGTTCATAACCTTGGGATAATTTTGCCCAACATTTCTATGCTATTAAATGGGTCAAGGTGAGATGAAGTGACTGTGTCTCTGCTGAGCTCCTAGAGAACCCTGACTTTTTGAACACAAGGGTGGTCTCTCTGTGAGTACGGTGGAAAGGAGGGAAGTTCCTGCTTCAAAGCAGGAACTGGAGTCTCCTTCTCTTTACCCAAGAGAGTGGCATGACCACAGGCCAAATCCTGCTTGGGCTTTCCCATCTGCTTGGTTGCAATTGGTAGGCAGGGAGCAGACCTCCGGTGTGTGTTTCCACACCTCTCCTCCAGTCCAGTTTCCCGGGGCTAACATCCAGCCAAATATCCCAAAATTCAGAGAGGGCTATCTACCTCTTCCTCAATGGCACCCAAGTGCCCTTGCAAATCTGGTCCCTTCATTTCCCACTCCACTTCCTGATGAAGAAAAATGCTTGGAAAGGAGTGGTTTGTTCATTCCCTGCAAGTTCTCAAACAGGACCACCTTGAGACTGTTCTGAATTAAACTGTTTTGTTTTTCACTCTGACAAACCACATCTGTGGCACAACCTTAGAGCTGAGACCTGCAGCACAAAAGTCCTGGGTCAAACTCCAGCTCCCCAGCTGCATCCCTGCTAATGTCCCACTGTTGTCCTGGCCCTACCTGGCAGGACCATAGAGAGAGGTCCCCTTCCTTCACCACCTGCTGGCTCTCTACTCCTCTTTTCCTGTTGTTTTCCCTCTCCCACTGTTTTCCCTCTTCCCACTCTTGTCCTGTACCACAGTCTCCCTCCTGGTTCTCTCTCCCATCCTACTGTTTCTCTTTCCCTACTCCTCTCTTGTTCTCCCTTTGCCACTCGGTCTCGTTCTGCCATGGCTTCCATCCTTCCATCCTCCCTGCTCCCCTGCTCAGTCTCGCTCTTCCCCTTCCCCTGCCCTTGTGCGCTGTGATATATATTTTTGTAGGATTTCTCTTCTCCTTGTGGTGAAATATTCGAATCTTGTGGGATGTTAGTTTCAACATTTTTAAATAAAACTTTGCAAAATATTGAAAGCAGACCCCTTGCATCCGTGGAAGGTGCCACACTGGAAAAGTCAGGGTGGGACGAGTGGTGCACCCCGGGCAGACCCCATCGGGATGGGGGCTCAGACTGCTGGCATCCCACATTCTCTTCTTGGGTGTAGAGGGTGTAGATGTCCCGTGTCCATCTTGCCTCGGTCTATTTGCCGACTGAAGGGGCGCTTTGACCGCTCTCATGCACTTCCATGGGAGGTGGTGCCTGGCGGAGGAGGAGCCCTTCTTCACGCACATCTCCACCCAAAGCAGCTGTCCTGCCTCTGGAGCTGCTGCCTCCCAGGCATGCCCAGGGCTGCTTGTCCCGCTGGGAGCCAGGGTGTCCGGGAGAGGTGACAGAAGCCGAGGGGAAGGGAGGGACATGCAGCGCTGCAGGCGCAGAAGCCTCCCTCACTCTGTTCCCCGCGGCTGCCTCCGCAATTTCTATTTACAGCCCTGCTGCCTCCCCTCCTGGCCACTGTGCTGCTGCTGTTGCTGGTTTCCAGGGCTGCTCTGTAATTAAGCATCCTTGTCTCCTGCAACTCCTCCACTCCGCAAGCCCAGCGGCAATCGGGGCTGGGGCACACCAGGCTTGACGGCCACTCCAAAGGGCTGCTCCCTGGCAATGGCTGAAGACTGCTGAGGATGGGGATGGTTCCCAGCCCCTGCTCCCTCGGTCCTCTCTGAGTCCTTTGGGCACTGGAGGTGTCCTTGATCCTCTGCTTTACTGTTGGAGGAAGGAGCAGGCTTCGCAGATGAGAACTGGCCTCGGACTCTGGGGTTTCTACCCACTGGAAAGACCCTTCCTGC